AGGCGAAGGAGCCGAAGAAGGAGGCAGATGGTAACGACAATGGAAAAGAAACGCAATCTACAGAAGAAAAGGCCGACGACTCAAAGCAAGAAGCTGCTGAGGACCCGCCCGAGCAGGCTCCCGATACACCCAACAACGAGAAGACGACCGAAAGCACAGATTCATCGTCAAAGCAGCGCAACAAGCGCACATGGGCGTCATACCTCCCTTCTATCCCGTACCGCAGCAAAGGTGGAGCAAGCAAGCAGGAAGCAGAGCAAAAGCCTAGTCCCGAGCAGGAGAAGAAGCAGAATGAGGAGAACACCAAGAAGTGGTCTTCATACTTGCCGACCGGAAAGAGCTTCTCTAGCTACGTACCGAATGTCGAAGTGCCAGACTCGAAGTCCGTCGTGAGCGCGTTCAAGTCGAGCCATAACCGCGATCCGAACAAGAGCTATGCGGAGCAGTTGTACGATTTCTCGAAGACGCCTGTGGGTGCTGGGACTATTGCCGGTAAGTCAACGGACGCGACACTACGTTGTGAGAATTTGCACTAACGTCGTGCAGCTGCAACAGGCTCAGGGTACGCATCCTCAGCTTACGCTGTATACTCCGCCTACGCTTCGACGAATCCCTCGAACTCTGAGCAGCCTCCCATGGAGTACCTCTCTCTTCCCCACACGCGCGCTGCCTCGCACAAACTCGTACCCGAAGTCGATGACGAGCTATTGACCAACTTGCGCAACCCGATCGTTACCCTCATCGAAGACACCTCGCCTGGTGCACACGATACACTGACGGCGGCGTGCGACGCGAACCAATACGCTGCTCTCGGTGTCGATAAGCCAGCGGAACATGGTAGCTGTGCCGAGAACCTCGTCCTCGCACTCAAGGAGATCAACGAAACAGCAGGACTGAAAGGCCCCAAAGCAGTTGGCGCAGACATCTCCGTCAATATCGCACCCACACCTCTCCATCTCTTCATGAACGCGCCTCTGCAGTCTGAAGGTACATCTCACAGTGACGGCGCAGGCACAAAGGGCGTGACACTCAGCGTCGATGAGCCCAAGGGCAAGAAACGCTGCCACGTCCGCTTCCGCGCCGAGCGAGACGTTGTGATTGTGTTCAGCGCCTGCCCCATGGACGTAGGCAAGCAGAACGGCGGACGATGCATGGCAGCCAACTTCATGGTCGAAGACGTCCAAGAAGGCGAAGACCTCGCCTCATCCGTCGCATCCGGCAAAGCGAAGAAAGCACCGAAGAAGCTGAACCAGAAGGACAAGGCAGATGACACGATATCAAAGCCTAAAGAAGCGCAACAACCTAAGAAGGACGACACGGCGGAGAAGAAGGATACACCAAAGAAGCCGGAGTTGAAGAAAACGGAGTCGACTAAACAGGCACCTAAGAAAGATGGTGATGCGGCGGATAAGAAGAACGCTCCTGCGCAGAAAGATGAGAAGCCAGATGGCTCCACGACATCTGAAGAGCCGAAAGCGAAGAAGAAGCCTAAGAAGCTTCAGGTGCGTAGTCAAGGGGCGTAGACACCATCACAGTCCTCATGAAACTGGCTGCGATTAGGCGCAGGTTGTAGTCATTGCCGTGGTTCAATTTGCCTGTTTAAGCAGTGAAATTAGGGTTTTGTACAACAGCTCTGGGTACTTCTGCCATGATTCATGTAAGCAAGTAATGTCTATGATACTTCTTGACTTTGGCGTGTACGTATGGGTCTGCCAGTCTTGTGGTGAAGTTTTGCGTCATTGGAGACGGAAGGAAGTACATCCAACAAGGGAGCAGAGAGAATGAGTGACAAAATTTCACCGTGGCGAGCTGAAGGATAAAGGAAGTCATGAGAAAAGAAGATGAATTCGGGATACCGAGAAAACACATCAGCGAAGGTATGTATGCTACATCAACCAGCCGCGCACTCACGCACACACCTATCAACTACTCAATCAACCTCCTCAAACCATCTAACCTCCTGCCTCCAACTTACTCCCCTTTCCAAGCCGTAGCCTCAGCCCCCCTCCCCCTAACATAAACCGTCTCCATCCCCCTCGGCACAGCCGTAGGCTGCGCAACCGGCTCCCTCTTCCCCCACGAGATATACGTCGGCGGCTCAGGCTTCGGCCACGAGATACTCTGCCAAGGGAACTCCAGCCCAATACTGTTCTGCGGCACCGGCACTGCTTCTCGTCCTGCGACAGCGCGAGCAGCGGGGGCGGCAGTAGGTTCAGGCGCGCGCTTCTTCTCTTTGCCCCAGATGACGGTGTAGGTTGGGGGGTTGAGGCCGACGCTGTTGGGTTGCGTGGGCGCGGGGTTGGCGGGGATTTCTACGGGGCCGTCGTCGTCTTCGTTGTCTGCGGGGAGGTCAGGTGAAGATGTGGGTAAGACATCGTCTTCTTGCCGCTTTTTGCCCCAGATTACGGTTACGGTGGGCGGGTTCAGACCGATGCTGTTTGCTTGGGTTGGTTGGGAGGGAGGTGGGAAGTCGTCTTCTGGGTACTCTGGGTCTTCTGGGAAGGGCTCCTCGGGAAAGGGCTCCTCCGGGAAGGGTTCTTCTGGGTCGGAGGGGTAGGGCTCTTCTTCCGAGGGAGGGGCTGTTGGTTCGGGCTCGTCGTAGTCCCAGGTTACGCTGTAGTTGGGTGGACCTACGGTGATGTCTGCTGAACGTGTGGAGGTGGATGTGGAGGGAGGACTTGGGGTTGTGGAAGGGGGAGGAGGACTGGGCGTCGGTGTTGGGGTGGGCTTTGGAGTAGGAGATGGTGTTGGTGTAGGCGTAGGCTTGGGTGTATATGTAGGCTTAGGCGTTGTTGTAGCTGCTGAAGAAGACTTGGATGATGACTTGGAGGTAGACTTTGACGTGCTCTTTGAAGTGCTCTTTGAAGTGCTCTTTGAAGTGCTCTTTGAAGTGCTCTTCTTCGTGGTAGTCTTTGTCATCATAGTCTTACTCGTCTTAGATTTCTTAGTAGTCGTAGAAGTTGGCTTTGCATTTCTCTTATTCAAATCCCAGCTCACGCTGAATTTGGGCGGAGAGAGGCTGATGATAGCGCTCTTGGTTGTTGAGGGGACTGGAGCCGGGGAAGGTGTTGGCTTAGCAGTCGTCGACGGCTTTGGTGTCGAAGTTGGCTTCTTCGTAGATGTCGTAGTGGGCTTTGCGGTGGACTTCATTGTCGTTGGCTTTGGTGGCCATGGGTTCCATGGAGGGTAGCCGGGTTTCTTGGTAGATGAAATCTTACTGGATGAAGCAGATTTGGTAAAAGAAGACGCCGGAGGTTTGTAACTAGTGACGGAAGCGGAGCTAGTCATACTGGAGTTCGACCAGATAGGGGGAAGAGATACGATGGAGGAGGACTTCGAAGTTGGCTTTGGCGTTGACGTTGGTTCCGGCGTAGGCGTTGAGGACGCGCCTGGACCATCTCCGTCCCAGGTGATACTGTAAGATGGTTTCCCGATGCTGATCTGATCGCTAGGCTTAGGTGGGGGGTATCCAGGCTCCTCAGGCTCTTCCGGTTCAGGAGTTGGCTCGGGCCCATCAGTGGCCCAGCTCACCCAGAAGGATGGTTTACCGATGCTAAATTGATCCGTCGGCTTAGAAGGAGGAGGGTAGTCGGGCTCTTGGGGAGCAGGTGTGGGTGCAGGCCCGCTCGTCTCCCAGCTGATCCAGCCAGACGGCGTACCAATACTGAATTGATCAGTAGGCTTGGCTGGAGGCGGGTACTCGGGTTCTTCTGGGGAATCTGTTGGAGCTGGACCGGTGCTTTCCCAGCTGATCCAGCCCGATGGTGTTCCAAGGCTAATCTCATCAGTTGGCTTGGATGGGACAACGGGCTCTTGTGACTCTTCGGTGGGTTCTGAGTTGCCAGTGTCCCAAGAGACACTCTGTTTGGGTGGAAGGACGCCAATCTGGCGATGTTGTAAGCCAGCAGGTGCTGCGCGAATGCTATAAGAAGGTCAGTGACAGCTTGCCAGCTTAGTAGACGTGACCTACCTAATGGCAAGACCTAGCAGTGCCAGCACAGTGTTCCTTGCAGGAGCCATGTTCAATCAGCAGACTCTCACAAAATATTGATTGACAGGTTATAAGGACATCTCAGCAACATCTCAATCTTCGCGAATGTACGGCAGAGTTATAGACTTCGCTCGGCTCACCATTCTGGCTGGCCTGACCGCACAAGCGACGATACTGTCTGTAAATGAAAGATACGAGCCTAGACACCATCGTGCCGTACGGAACATCGCTTGCACGTGTGCGATACTCCAGACATTGCATTAGCGACGCTTGATAGTTGTGGTTCCGGGCTCTAGGTCGTGCTTTCGATCTCGCAGCGCAATATATCCAGATAGCCGTCGGGTACAGCTGTGGCATGACCTGGAAATGCCTAAATATAGCGATAAATCGTACTCTATAGAGCGTTGATTTGGCGAAACGTGGGACCGTCGGCAGAATTAAAGTGCACGTTGTTTGGCTAATTGCTGGATATTTGATGTGATCGTGACATGCATGCGAACAACCGAGAAGTCCGGGGTCGCCAACGCAATGCCCTTGCAGCTTCATATAAGACGGATCCAGCTCTACATCGCCCAACGTATTCAAAATGTTATCCGTACACCGTCCTCGCCTGGTCTGGAGGCGGGCATGCTTGGCGCTTTCTTTTCCAGACTAAAATGGCAGGCGAGGATTTCAACACTCGCATTGGGAAAGGTGAAAGCTGGTAGCGACTTACTCCAGGGTACCATGCAGTCCATCTACGCTCCAGATCATCTATGTTTAGACAAGACGAGATCAGTCTTGTAGATACTCGTACTGATAACGTCCTTGGCAGTTTTTCCAGCCAGTCTGGCATCTGCTTGAAGCCAGCCATACTTTCCTGCCGGTAGCCGACGTGGTCTTGATGGATGCATGCTTGGCTGATGAAGAAGCCAATGCAGGCACCAGCTGATGTTTTGTGTTTTGGCGAGGTGTCGAGGAGTGCTCGCACAATTTGTGTTGCATGCACGTGGTATGTAACGTTAAAGTTTTACCCGTCCGCCGGGGGGTCCAATAGCTTGTCCAGAGGCCACTTGCGTATTGCTCTTATGCTGAGTGGGGAGACGTGACCCGCTTCATACATCTCAAGACCAGCCCAACCTATCATTGCAGCGTTGTCGGTGCAGAACTTGGGCGGTGGAAAATGCAACTCAACGTCCGGATAACCATGGGCGCAAAGCGTCTTCGCAAGTCTTACAGCCGTTAGCATCCCAGTCGACGATACTATGTGTTCTTGCTACTGCAGGCAGACTTACATGTGCCGGAGAAACGAGTTGGCAGCCACGCCACCAGCCATGACAACCGCAGGCACGGCTAGAGCATCTTCTTGAGTCTGCAAGCCTAGAACTACTCGGGAAGCGACATGCTCAAAAGCTGCGCGCATGGTCTCACGTGCAAGATCCATGCGCTCTTCAAGGCTAACGTCTGCCGCCGTTCGCTCGACTTTGTTGAATTTTCTAGTGACGGTGTCCATACCAAACCGAACGATGCGCTCAACCATTGTCGTGATACCTGAAAAGCTCAGCTCAAGACTGTTGATCTTGACACCTCCACCTGATTTAGTCAAGGGCCGATTGAGTGCCCAGCCCCATTTTGTCGCGCTCTTCTGCATGGCGTCTTCATGATTCAGAGGAACTTCGTACCAATCGTATAGGTGTCCATGAGCATCCAAGTATGTCTTGGCTGAATAAGTTGGTGGCTTCGTTACGTGAGTTGATGCGTCGCCAGATATTGACTTGCGGGAGCGATCGGGCAACGCAAATGCCTCGAGGAGCGCTCCATACATGGTGCTCTTTGATGTTTCCAGTAACGCTGTAGGCAGCACTACACGAGCGATCTTGTCCAAGCACTCTCCCACAGCAATGTCATTAGTAGAGCCCAGCACGCGGTGGTCCGCCATAGACGCCGAGTGTATGAGCAGCGTATGACCACCTGAGGCGAGGATAGATAGGAACGGGAACTTTGGCGTGGTTTGTATCGACGTCGAATCGTAGATGCCGCTGTGTTCAGGCTCGGTGTGGGCTTCGAGGGCGCTGACCATGCGTGGCGTAAGCGCATGAGCCTGCATGTGGTGGACTCCGACCAGAGGTTTCTAGTATCGCTATCAGCAGCAAGTCCGCAGAGAGAAGCTCGCGCAGTACCTGCCATGCTACAGCGAGTCCCTTGGCGGTATCAAGACCCGTGAAGAGATTACTGCGCATGCCTGGCCCACGAGTGACAGACACAAAATCAGGCAGCCTTCGTGTCGCGAGATCGACTGTATTTGCTTGCGCATCTTCCGGGGGAATCTCCCCATCTCGCATCGGTAGGGAGCGAATAGCTTCATGGAGGAGCATGGCGAGATTCTCTTGGTGCGACAGAAGGGACACCAGCGGGTGAACGCCCTGATATGCGGCATTGTCCGATGTCACTTTCTTGTGGAAGTGCAACTGCGCTGTCGTCCGGCCGTGCCGAGTCTCTTTTTCCACTATGGCGACCGAGGTATCATCGCAAGACGTCTCGATGGCCAGCGTCATCAGACAGCGGCGAGGCCTCCATTGCGGGGGCGAGAGGATTCGCGATCGGACGACGGCTTGGAGTGTTCTGCATCGAGGTCGCATGCCTCGCAGGTCGGCAAGTGCGTGGTGTCGGCGAGACGTGGTGTTGATGCACAATTCTGCATCAGCGGCGGAAGGGTTCCGAGCGGGCCCTGTGACGTACTGGCTAGCACCCGAAGCTTCGAGCCTCACATGCCAACACGCCCATTTGACATCACCTGAGTCGTCTCCCCTAACCAACTCGACGATGCGACTTACACCCGACGCCTCTCCCCCCCATGGCTGACGTAGACAAGAAGACGGATGGCCCCGAGCCATATTCCTCGACGGGCTTCGACTTCACCCTATTGCCAGACTACGCGAACGACTTTGTCGAAGAAGACCATTTTATCGAATTCGAGAAAGCCCTCGCTGCGCCTGAGAATTCACCGTCCACCGAAGACCTCACGGCTCTGCCGCCCGATCGAACCTTCATCTCCGCCCAAAACGACTGGCGGCCGGTCCACCAGCGCGTCAAGCGGCGCAAGAAGAGCAAGGCGCCCCCGCGACGCGGCAAGGACGAGACGCGCGAAGGCTTCGTCTACGTGTTGCTCAAGTGGCCCCTGCTCCTGGTCGTGCTGGGGTGGCTGTTCTTCCTCAGCATAGCCTACGTCTTCACTCGCCTGTACATATACCTATACGAGCACTGGATCACATGGCGAGGCACACGGCAGAGACTACGTCAGCGGCTGCAGGATGCGCGATCCTACCAAGAGTGGATTGAGGGCGCAAAGGAACTCGACGCATACCTGGGCAACGAGTCGTGGAAGGAGAAGGCGGACTATGCCTATTACGACAGCAAGACGATTGCAAGAGTACACCAGCAGATGGTCAAACTGCGCGAAAAGGCCGAAGCAGAAGAGAAGAGCGGGCCAGGATCAAAAGCCTCACAAGGCCAACACACGGCTGTCGAGGACCTTCGTGCGCTCCTAGAAGGTAAGCGCCCCGTCTTTCCCACGCCGCAAAACACATCTAACGTCGCATTTAGCCTCCATGAAGAACAACTTCGTAGGCTTTGAAAACCCCCGACTGTACAGCGAGACGTACTACGGAACCAAAGACCTCGTCCAGAAATTTGTCGACGAAGCCGAGACGTCGCTCACTTTCCTCCTACAAACCACGCAGCTCGATGCAGAGAACAAGCGCGCCCTGTTCAAACACCTCGGCAGCAACTTTGGTCGCACTGCGCTATGTCTGTCTGGAGGAGCGACCTTTGCATACTACCACTTCGGTGTGGCCAAGGCTCTGATGGACGCCGAATTGCTGCCTGAAGTCATCACTGGTACATCTGGTGGAGCTCTCGTGGCTGCACTACTATGCACGAGGACCGACGACGAACTCAAGAAACTGCTCGTACCCGCTCTGGCTCATCGCATCACGGCTTGCCACGAAGGCATTCTTACATGGTCAAAGAGATGGTACAAGACTGGAGCGAGATTCGACAGCGTTGATTGGGCAAAGAAGTGCGCCTGGATGACTCGTGGCAGTCTGACGTTCAAGGAAGCATATCAAAGGACTGGACGTATACTGAACGTCTCTTGTGTGCCTTCCGACCCCCACTCTCCGACCATCTTAGCCAACTACATCACAGCTCCGGACTGTGTTGTCTGGTCAGCAGTGTTGGCATCTGCTGCCGTCCCTGGAATTCTCAACCCAGTGGTCCTCATGAAAAAGAACAAGGACGGCACTCTTTCGCCCTACTCTTTTGGACACAAGTGGAAGGATGGAAGTCTCCGGACGGACATTCCACTGAAAGCGCTGAACCTCCACTTCAACGTCCGATTTTCAATCGTCAGCCAGGTCAACCCTCATATCAATATCTTCTTCTTCTCATCCCGTGGCTCGGTTGGTCGACCTGTCACCCATCGCCGTGGACGCGGATGGAGAGGTGGTTTCCTTGGTTCCGCCACAGAGCAAGTACGTCAACCACACAACGGAGTCTCAATACACATGCTAATCAATTGATCCAGTATCTCAAGCTCGATCTCAACAAATGGCTAAAGGTGCTTCGCCATCTCGAGCTTCTACCGCGACCACTAGGCCAGGACTGGAGTGAACTCTGGCTGCAACGCTTCAGTGGGACCATTACCATCTGGCCCAAGTCCATACCTTCAGACTTTTTGTATATCCTCACGGACCCAACCCCAGAGCGACTAGCACGCATGATACATGTTGGCCAACAGTCGGCTTTCCCTAAGCTGAAGTTCATCGCGAATCGTGCGAAGTTGGAATATGCCATTCAGGAAGGAAGACGGAGATTCAGACCTCGTGGGGCACGCGATGACGAAATTGTCAACACTCTCAGCGAAGAAGACCTTCGTAGCTTGCTCAAGCGCACAGGGAGCGATGGCCCTGACGGTGGGTCTCTATACCCAGCTTCAGAATCAGAATCCTCCTCCACTGCAGGACCATCGCGGCCTAGCTCGCCCGTGAATCTCCCTCTTGGCCTTACATTCGCTCGTAAGAAGAAGAACGCGCCGGCTGATCTAGCAAACACTGCTGAGAAGCCAGACGCCCCCGACAGTCCATCGTTGGGGAAACGATTGAGCGGATGGTGGTCCGCTATGTCTCCTCAAGCCACTACACACTCTACAGCCCTCAGAGCCCGTCCCCGTGATTCGCCATTCAGTCACGATCGTCCTAATTCGATGTTCGAGTTCCGACCAAGCGGCGACATTATAGATGTTCCTACGGGAAGAAAGCAGAGTAGGGTTTTCGACGACTCGGATGATGCCGAGGGAAGCCAAGATGTATCAAGGCGCAGACAGCAGCACAAAGGAGGCATGTTTGGCGACACCGATGCTGGTATGAAAGACGCTGAGGATCATGGCGAGGCAGCAGATTTTGGGGACGACGAGGAAGACCGAGACGAAGTGCAAAATGTTGGAGTGGGTCTTGGTCTCGAGGGGCAGGGTTTATAGATTGCCTTCCTTCACCTTATACCTAGATTAGAATGTAAGAATATTAATGGCAAAGTTATTCATCTTCAGCTTATGACACGCTTCTTTCAAGGTCGCGAAAGGCGTATAGAACGTAGACAGTGTGCATGAAGGCATAATCTAGCATCATCAATCATCTTGCCTCATAATGATGCTTCTATCTTTTCTGAAGACTTATGTCTCGCACATGTCCGGATGCTCTCGCGACGACGCTAGTGCTTACACACGTGATAGTCGCGTTTGGCAGGCTTGGCATGTCGTCATCGAGAACACGCTCTGAACGCGCGATCACACGGCAGCCTGCGCTTTCCAGAAATTAACTCGACGACCACTTCCACCCCTCCAAACCGATGGACAACGTCCCCAGAAGAGCGCCATGGGTGTCACTGGCCTCTGGACCGTTCTGCAGCCTTGCGCGCGGCCGATCAAGATCGAAACGTTGAACAAGAAGCGCCTCGCCGTCGATGCCTCCATCTGGATATACCAGTTCCTCAAGGCCGTGCGCGACAAGGAAGGAAACGCTTTGCGGAACAGCCATATTGTCGGTTTCTTTCGCCGAGTATGCAAGCTTCTCTTCATCGGCATCAAGCCCGTCTTCGTCTTCGATGGTGGCGCACCGGCGCTGAAGCGACAAACCATCAACAACCGCAAGTCGCGACGTGAAGGTAGACGAGAAGATGCGGTCCGGACAGCTGGAAAGTTGCTGGCTATACAAATGCAGAGGGCTGCTGAGGAAGAAGAGAAGAGGCGGAAGGAAGCTGCCAAGCATCCAAGAGAGGAGCCACCGCAACAGGAGGAAGAGATACCCGATAATTTGGTGTATGCGGAGGAACTTCTGCAGACGCCTCAGGAGCGAACAGAGAATCGCACCTTCAAAAAGAAGGACCAATATCACCTTCCAGACCTCGGCAAGTCCATGTCGGAAATGGGGGCTGCGAATGATCCCAGAGTCATGTCGCTCGAAGAGCTGGAGGAGTACGCACGCCAATTTGACAGAGGCGAAGATATCAATGTCTATGACTTCTCCAAGATTGACTTCGATGGTCATTTCTTCCAGAGCCTGCCTCCGGCTGATAGGTACAATATCTTGAACGCAGCCAGGCTACGAAGTCGACTCAGAATGGGACACTCAAAAGAACAGCTTGATGCAATGTTTCCAGACAGAATGGCTTTCTCCAAGTTTCAAATCGACCGTGTGCGCGAACGTAACGAACTTACGCAGCGATTGATGAACCTCAACGGGATGAACGACGATGCATTTGGCGCAGGCGGGTTCAATCGCGTTGCGGGCGAGAGAGATAGGGAGTATGTTCTCGTCAAGAACGACGGAGTGGAAGGTGGTTGGGCCCTCGGAGTTGTGCTGAACAAGGAAGAGGGCAAAGCTCACAAGCCGATTAACGTGGATCTACCAGAGCGTCCTGCTGAAGAAGAACAAGAATGGGAGGACGATGAAGACTTCGAGGACGTTCCCATCGAGGGCCTGAACAGGCTGCCAAAGCCCAAGGGGGGCTTGAGCGCCCAAGAGAAGGAGGGCCGTGAGTTCATCGCGAACGAGCTTGCGACACGACGCAGAAACCTATACAAGTCGAGGAAAGAGAAGCCAGTACAGTCTAAACCACAAAGGGCTACCCCGGTCAACCAAGATCCAGACTCGTTGTTCCTTGCGGATGATAACGAAGAAGAGGAAGACTGGGAGAACGTTCCGATGAATGGTGTGAACGATGTAGATGATGCAGGGGATGATGTTGAGAACGAGCAGTTACAGCAAGCCATTGCCTTGTCAATGCAGCCCGAGAAGCAAGCGGTTGCTGAAGAATCTGA